GAAGCTATGGCTATCAAATATAAAATATCAACAAGGCGTGTATATCAAATATGGAGGGAAAATCATCCGCCAATAGATCCTAGAGAAGTAGTATTAAAGCTCCTGATAGGCCTTAAAGCTCGCGAGCTGATCCAAGTCAAGCTGAGCCTGATATTATAGGCTCATAGGCTCGCGAGCCAAGCCCAACTAAGGCCTGGCTCGAGCCTCAAAGTAGGCTCGCGAGCCTTAAAAATTTTGGGGCCTTAAATAAAAGCCCCACATAATTTTTTTTATTTTAAAATTCGTGGCTTTATTTAAAAGCCACGAATTTTTTTTTTAAAAAAAAATTATCCGTTGCTATTAAATAGCAACGGAAAAAATCAAATTAAAAAAGTGATCCATCGCTATTTAAAGCGACGGATCACTTAAAAAAAAAAAGCGATCCGTCACTATTTAAAGCGACAGATCGCTAAAAAAAAAATTAAAATTTTGTGGCTTTATTTAAAAGTTACAAAATTATTTTTTTTTAAAAAAAAAAAAAGCGATCCGTTGCTATTTAAAGTGATGGATCGCTAAAAAAAAAATTAAAATTTCGTGGCTTTATTTAAAAGTCACGAAATTATTTTTTTAAAAAAAAAAAGTGATCCGTCACTATTTAAAGTGACGGATCGCTAAAAAAAAAATTATTTTTTTAAAAAAAAAAAACGATCCGTCGCTATTTAAAGTGACGGATCGCTAAAAAAAAATTAAAATTTTGTGGCTTTATTTAAAAGTCACGAAATTATTTTTTTTTAAAAAAAAAAGCGATCCGTCACTATTTAAAGTGACAGATCGCTAATAAAAAAAACGATCTGTCGCTATTTAAAGTGACAGATCACTAAAAAAAATAAAAAAAAAGTGATCTGTCACTATTTAAAGTGACGGATTGCTAAAAAAAATATTAAAATTTCGTGGCTTTATTTAAAAGCCACAAAATATTTTTTTTTTAAAAAAATCCCGGAGCTTTTATTTAAAGCCCCTGAAATTAAAAAATTTAAAGAGCAACGATCGCACTCCTTAAAAAAATTTAGAGCGACGATCGCGTTCTTTATTTTTTTTTTAAATTAAATTCTGATAGCTTATTAAATTAAGCTATCAGAGTTTAATTTCCATAAATACCACTAATTTTCTCTTATATTCTCTCTTATATTTTCTCTTATATTTTCTCTTATATATTTTCTCTTATATATTTTCTCTTATATTTTCTCTTATATTTTCTCTTATATTTTCTCTTATATTTAAATCTAAAAAATAAAAAATGTCTACCTTATCTAATAATGAAAATGTCTCTGATGATGAAATTCCTTTTGTTGAAATTCCTACTGATGAAATTCCTATTGTTGTAATTCCTAATATCCACCAAGATAGTGCAACTACATCTTCTACATCTGCAAAAAAAAAAACTTCTATATATTATAAATATTTTACTTTTGGAACTGATGAAAGGTGGCATTGTAATTATTGCAGGTAAGGATTTCCTATATTATTTAAAAATAATATAATGAAATAGTAGAAATAATATTAATAATTATAGTTCTACTTTTACTGATAAATCAACAACAAATCTTAAGCGCCATATCACAAGTTTTCATGCAATATTGCTTAAAGATTTAGAAGCTGGAGTTGGGCCTTTGAATAAATATTTTACTGGTACAACAAAAGAAACAGTATGTTTATTTTATATATTTATATGTTTTTAATTGTTAAACAAATTTTAATAATTAAAATATGCTTTTTATAGTTTACTCAAAAAGGTTTTAGAAAAAAATTAATTGAATGGATTGTGATACATGACTATCCATTTACTGTAGTGGAGGAATGTGAATTTAAAAAATTATTAGAATTATTAAATTCAAGTGTAAAAATCCCTTCTGCTGATACAGTACGCAGGGATCTCACTTACAATTTTAATCAAACTAAAAAAAATGTGAGAAAACAATTACAAGTAAGTAATTTTGATAAATTTTAATTTATTTAATATATTTTTTTAATATTTATATTTAATCTCATAAAAAATAGGAACTTCCTGGTAAATTGTCATTTACTATTGATGCTTGGACATCAAAAAATACTCTTCCTTTTCTTGGAATAACAGTACATTGGATTGATGAAGAATGGGTACTATGCAGTTCTACATTAGACTTTTCACTGTTACCAGGATCTCATTCTGGTGTTAATCTGGCCAAAAAATTTTTAGAAATCTTGGATGATTTTAACATTAAAACAAAAGTATTTTTTTTTTTAAATTTATTTTTTTTTTGATTTATTTTATATAAAAATAATAATTTATTATTTAATTATAGATTTTAGGAATAACCTGTGACAATGCTACAAATATGGATTCTATGTTATCTAATATTTCTTCTTATTTAAGTGACATTGGTATCACTTTTGAACCTCAGAACCAACATGTAAGATGTTTGGCTCACATTATTAATCTTGCAGCTAAAAGTGCATTGGAAGGATTAAATGCATCTGGGTTAGATATTGATGAAAATATTATTGATGAAGAAGATAATGGTGAAAAACTGCAAAATGCTATTTACAAGGTAATTTAAAATAATTATTACAAAATTTGATTTATGTTCAACATTATTTTATTTATGTTTTGTTAAATTTTAGTTAAGAAAACTTGTCATAAAAATAAGATCATCC